GGGTGGGGGCCCCCCCCCCCTGCCACAACCCCAGTAGCCCCACCCCCCAATTCTCCCAAAAAAGAGGGGAGGAGGGGGAGAAAGCACAACAGGCCCAGACCAGCAGCCTGCTGTACTCCCATCGAAGAGCCTTTGGCAGTGCTGATGATATCTGCTTAGCTCCTCTGATTCTCCTTACCAATTAGTTCCTCTCCTTCTCCACTCTCCCTTACCGTACCCCACTGGGAAGCTTTTTAAAGTCAGCTCACCTGGCCCTTAATTGATTTATAGCAGCCCTGAGTTCAGGCTGCCAAGGGACCTCTTTAAAAACTTTCCCTGTGGGGGTGGGCTCTGGAGAGCGGAAGAGGAGTTTGGAGGAGGCAGAGGGAAGTGAGAGCTGATAAGGAAAGAAATAGAGAAGCTGAAAAACAGAACGTCAATACTGCCAATAGATGGGAAGGTAAGGGGCTCTGACAGGGAGTGTTTGGGCTCCCTTCCTCAAGTGGCCTGAGAGCCCAGCTGGTAACTGAAGAGGACTGGTTACTCAGCCCAGTCTGACTAGGGTGTCTGTCCCAACACCTATTTAGCCAAGGGGCAGAATCTCAAAATGCTAGAAAGGGCAAGTGAGACTGCAGGGTTGTGGACAGGACACGTGTCTGGGACCCAGGAGTGGGTCTGACCCTGCTACAAATGTTAATGACCAGGGCTCGACAAATAATGCAATCTACTTGCCCGTGGCGAGTAGATTGCAACCCGGAAGAGCTGGGTTCGGGCGGGCTGGCGAGCCCTGTTAATGACTATTTCTATTCTAGGAAATGAGTAAATTTTGTTACTCGGTATACAGAGTAAGGTAAATACCTATTAAAATACTTTTTTTTAAAAATACTCAGGTATCCAAGCCCACCAATGGGATATGGATCAGCCCCTACCATGCCCACTGGAGAAGAAAATTCTGAATATGTTCGGACTCTCTATGATTTTCTTGGGAGTGATACTGAAGATCTGCCATTTAAAAAGGGTGAAATACTGGTAATTGTAGAGAAGCCTGAAGAACAGTGGTGGAGTGCCAGAAACAAGGATGGTCGAGTTGGGATGATCCCTGTTCCTTATGTAGAGAAGCTGGTCAGATTGTCTCCTCATGGGAACAGGAATTCCAACAGCTATGGTATTCCAGAACCTGCACATGCTTATGCTCAACCTCAGACCACAAGTCCCCTTCCCTCTGTATCCAGTACACCTGGAGCAGTGATCAATCCACTGCCATCAGCATGGAATGGACCTGTCTATGCCAAAGCTATTCAAAAAAGAGTACCGTGTGCTTATGACAAGACTGCCTTGGCATTAGAGGTAAGATTTTTCTGAAGTTCTAAGTCTCTAACATCTTCAGTAATTAGTCTTTTTTTTAATTAAAAAAAAAAGCACAACTTGATTGAAATGGTAGCAACCTGATTATGTAATTTATTTGAGCCATTCATGTAGGTGGTTGTCTTAAGTCAGTCAGGCAAAGTCCAATCTACTGAAGTGACTGAGAGAACAAGGTCTTTATTCATACCATAACAGCTCTACAAAAACAATTGCATCATCCATACCACTTCCCTTTAGAAAGGAACTAGCGCACGTACAAAGATGTACCTAATTCAGACTGTGACTACTCTTCCACAATAGGAATTTTTCTTCTTCCAGTGAACAGGAGCAAGCAATGGACATAGGTGTGAGTGCCCCTGGAGTGGTGCACACATGCCACACTATATAGGGGAGGGGGATAGCTCAGTGGTTTGGGCATTGGCCTGCTAAACCCAGGGTTGTGACTTCAATCCTTGAGGGGGCCATTTAGGGATCTGGGGCAAATCTGTCAGGGATGGTTATTGGTCTTGCCATGAGGGGAGGGGACTGGACTCCATGATCTCTCAAGGTCCCTTCCAGCTCTATTAATAATGGACACTCCTCGGACCCTCAGTTCCTTCTTACTGCTGGTGATGGTGCTTGGAACAGCCTGCTCCAGCTTTAGCTAAAGCTAGCATTCCCTATTGTTCGTAAATAGTTCTGTCATTAGTTACAGTGGTGGAAAAAGTACCCAAAATGTTACTTGAGTAAAAGTACTGCTACTTTGAAAAAAATGTAATGAAGTGTAAGTCAAAAGTACTCTTCCAGAAGGATACGAGAAAGTACAGAAGTATCACATCTTAATTGTACTCAAGTATCCAGAAATAAAAAGTAGGGGAGAGGAGGCAGGGAGGACCAAGTTTCAGGGTTTCCCACAAGCTTGATAACACTTTTGGGGTTAGATTTTTCAAAGCGCCACCCCACCCCTTGGGCTCTGGTGTGAGGT